ATGGATGGATGGATGGATGGATGGATGGATGGATGGATGGATGGATGGATGAGCAATCCATGTCGTCCAGTTTCATATTTACCTCTAGCTTATTCTAAGGACAGCATTGTTAATGGATTTCATTTCAGATGAAACCAAACCTTGTCTACGTGGTACATTAGCTTGTAGACTGCCTTGGTCAGTTTTCATTTTGCAACCCGCCAACCCGTTGTTACAGATAAATTGGCCCTACATACTAACTGATATGGCTCGCATTTGATTCATTAAAACCAATAGATTACAACGGAAAATTTTCACTTTAGTAGGYTTTTTAGAGCTTTTTAAAGCTGTATAAACATGGCTTGAAGTTCTAATGGATTTTACATTACAGCTCGTTTCCTGAACATTATGTTTTGAAATATTATACTAAGTAAGAACGATGAGCTCGAATAAGTCAAAACGCGCGCACTTCGAATTCGGTCATTGAAAACATCTCACCTGCACAGTCAGAGAAAAGCACCCAGTWTGTGACGAAAAAATCATTACCTATCTTTTCGACCCTGTGTTTTTTTCCATTAGCCAAATAAAGGCTATTTGCGATGAGAACTTCAGKGCTACAAGAGATGGCAATTGAGTTGGAGAAACAACCAGGGAGAGTTTCCCGATGGCCACACCACTCCTCGAAACAGTTCGGGTTAAATCCTATCTACGCGAAAAACAACATAGAATAACACTAAATATAAATATGAAAAATAAAATTAACATGATCAATCTGTATTTTTTTTCTTACTTAGAGTACTTACGGCTTCTAACAAGGCTTATCAGATCAGATTAGATCAGATTAATAATAATATTTAACGTAGGAATTTGAAACAAAAATATACCGCTCGAGTACAATATTGACCTTGTTGCTAATGGAGACCTTCATGTGAAAATAGTCAAAGCCTGAAGATCATAAAGCTGGTGCTTCCCGCAGACACCCAAAGGTTAGCTTAGAAACGTGTGTTCTGCTTCTTTTCGCGTGACATTCACATTCAAATAGTATAAGTATTGTCGGAGTACGTCCTCAAACACGTCTGCTTAAGCAGCATTAGAACTTTCTAAATGAGAAATCAGTTAGAAAAAAGGAATTGTCGACAACAACTACTGATTAAACCAATGAAAAGCGTACTATGACAATTAACTTCCCGAGTTTTGTGGTTTTGCTTCCAGTAAGGAGTATTTTATTTACTTTCCAACATGAAAAAGGTCGAATAATGAAGCATATTTTATTCTTCTACCGGCGTCAGTCCACGGAATACAAACTTAATGAATTTTCCAAAAAGTTGTCATTATAARAAATGATTTGTGGTTGGCTCTATTTATTTAAATCTTTCATCATTAGTTTCTTTTTAAGAAAAAGAAAACATTTAGATTTAAAAAAACCACATTTCTTGGAATAGCAATGAAGCACAAATCGTAATACCATTTTCTTTCTTTTTTCTATACAAGCCTTTCCTGAGTATAGCTTTTACTTGTTCATACGGTTTTTTCTCACCAAATTATTCGAACATTCGGCACATTATACGGRTTTGCGCATGTATTCCTCAGTTCTTTTTCTGGTGAATCTCACAGCGTTTCAGCTCCCACATGGACCAACGTTACGATACGAGCTATAACTGACCAAAGAATCATTCACTTAATCGCTGTTCATAGCAAGGGGTTAMTCATTTACGGTCTAGGGGCCGACTAACCTCTCCCTTAGGCTTCGTCCGAGCTTCCTGATCAGTCACTGGATAGCGGTGTCGGGGTCGAAATCTCCGGCATAGCCGTAAATGCTTCGCGCTGCCATACTGCGCTTCAGCACAGGGCCTGGAGGTATGGTCCATGTTTAATCAAGTTAAAAAATAATTAGAGAAAAAATTCAATATATTGATGGTGCAAGTTTCATTCATAAAGYGGAGTATGCGCATGCGTGCTCAAAAGTAATCAGTGAGCATGYGCAAGCCAAACCAGAAATTACCAGTCATGGCTGGTGCCCCGCAAAAAGGGGAAAAAATGATGTTGGAATCTGAAGCGCTTATACCATTTAAGTCAATGAATCTYGTTGGAAATTCATTCGCTAATGGCAAGAAAAGAGCGGGAAACTTTGACTTTTTACAAATGGTACACGCGTCTACGAAAAGAGCGGGAAAAGTGGATTACCTTAATCGGAAGACCGAGTTTTCTGCAACTTTCCGATTAGAATGACATATACCATTTTATTTTTCGAATAGTGATTTTAAAAGCACCCCTGGTCTATTTTGGGTAAAGGACACTTCTACCCAATCTAGACCACAATGCATTATGCTCTATTGATGAAGATTGTGAATGTTAATATTTAATTCTAAGTGATGAAGACCCGGTTTACATATGAAAATGAAGAATTCATTTAACGTGACACTTAACAGTACCGCGAAAATATTGAAAAACTATTATATATAAAGATAAAATATTAATGCATGGTCATTTACCCAAGGTCTCTGTAATCTAACACGGACTCTACAATATAAATCCTTTCTTTTTTTCCCCAGATTGCACACGGATAACACTAAGATGATCAAGGTCTTCCTGGCCGTATTTGCGTTGGAATTTTTGCCGCTGTCTTGCCTCACGGACTAAGCGGTTGTATCTTGTCCAACGATCAWAGATTATCGGTAAGATGGGAGCCATGACAATTACACCAGATATTGCACAAACAGCACCAGAAAGTTTACCAACTGAAACGAAAAGAAATGCCAAATTAAATTAGTTTTTTCTAAATGAATTTCAACTGAGAATTTTTACTAATAGGGTCCTGAATGATTAAAATGGGAGCTGGGATTCGCTTTTTGGGCGGGAAAATGGGATTAGGACCCCCCCCCCTCCCCCATTCAGTACCCTCAATTAAGAGTTGCATCGATCGTTGTGACTGGATTTTGCTCATTTTTAAGCCGGGTTTTCACTTGCGACGGCTGAGTTGTAATCGGAGTCAGAAACGCGCCGAAATCGGACTGATCTAGAAAGTTTACCTTTTTCTTTCCTGGTGCTTACATTTATGACAAGCAGTCATCTGCAGTTTCACAAATAACTGCTTTGGACTCCGATTCCAACAACAACCAGCCTAAAGACGCGATTACACGGAAAACCTTTTCTCTGCAACTTGCCTCGCGACAGCGTGGCGATACAAGCTGCAAGAGACGAATTCTAGTACTTTTTCAATTTTATTTTTTATTTCTTTTCAAATTGCGCTGTAGGTTACGCGCTGCAATGCTCCATGTAACTTGTGTCGCAACCCTTTTGCGAGACAAGTTGCAACACAGAAATATGCTCCGTGTAATCGCGCCTTTTTGACGATGTTTTAATACTTCCATTAACCCTCAACCTAAAGCTACTCACCATTACTAACAGGAACCATGTCCCCATAACCAATCGTCATACTGGAAATAAACGCCCACCACAAGGCAGAAGGAATACTCGTGAAGTTCGTATCTGATGCTGCCCATATATGTTCGAAGTAATACGTCACACTCGCAAAAAACAACGACTGGACAAACATCAGAAAAAGCAGCATCCACAGATCTCTGTGTCCCGACSAAAGAGTCTGGATAATGATTTTTAGACTTGCTGTGTAACGTGAAATCTTGAGGACACGAAATATTTTTCCTAGACGTAAAACTCTCAAGACGGATAGCGACGCCCCAATTACACTCATGTCAAGTAAAAGACTGATGTRGAACGGAATAATTGCTACAAGATCAATAATGTTAAGAATATTTTTAAGGAATTTACGTTTATTCCAGCTGACTATGAACCGTGCTATTAGCTCAAGTGTGAAAAATGCAATACATGTCGCTTCAGAGACAAAGATCCAATAGTTTGTATTCTGGTTTGTTCTGTACAGTTTTTCTCTCGCTGTAGAGGAGTTAGAGGGGCTCTCAACAGCAGTTAAATCTTGTTCAAAAGAATCAATACATAGAAGAAGCACAGAAAATACAATAACTACTAGTGAAAACAAATTGTACGCTCGACTTGCCATGTTCGCTTCTGGTTTTTCTAACAACAGCCATATAATTCTTCTTATATCGTAGCCTTGTTCCTGTTGAAGCTGGTCTGAAGCAGTGGTTATGTCAAATAATCTATCCTTTTCTCCTTCATTAAGGTATTCATAAACCCCAAAGAAGGTCAATTCATCTGCAAATAGCTGTTCAGGAATGTTTGGAGGTTTGATTAACTCGCCATGTTGATAAAAGTTGTAGATTGATTCAGCTACAATTCGATTATGATCAAAAAAGTATTCGTTTTTCTTAAAGTCGTAGAATTTTTTCCTCTGTTTAGGATCGGCCAGCAAACTCTTAGGATACTTTAGTAGCTTCTCATACGGAATGATATAGTATTTTCCACTCACATTTACATTAATACCTTCAATCTTTTGTCTTGGCTCATTTTTTTCACTCTGTGATTTTTCCAAGTGTCTTTTCTTCATTAACCTTAACTGTTGTTTTGGCGAATGTGCCGCGGCACACCTTTCTTGCTTGAGAACAGCATTTCGAGGGTCATTTAGAGCCTCTAAGCTGCCTAAATAAGAATTCATCTTTCTCGATACGACTCTCTTGCTTGTATAAAGACTATAAAGTTTGTTAAAGTTGGAAGTCACACTTCAGTGACCTAAACATATTTGCATCATAAAAATAACCACAGGGACCCCAAAATTATTTTTTCGGGTGGATTTCTTCCCAACTTGTACCGGAGCCCACGTTCCTCTTGGTCAGCAGTATTTTCCTCAACCTCGGAACGGCCAAATACGGATCGATTTTTTTTTGCAACTCTGACATTAAGGACTATCTACTGATCAAGGATTTTGACTCTACTCAATGTCCTTGCACATGTCACGTTCGATATCAAATAAATTTTGATYGATGCATAGTTTGTTTAGTGTTATTGAATAAAATAAGAGAGAAAAGTGCAAAAAAAGTCAAAATATTTTTGAAAATTCGCAGCGAACGTTGATTCAGGGGTCTGGGTATATCTTGGCAGAGACTTGAGCAATTACATCAGTGGCATTTTTCTGGTCTTGTGCAATCCACGGACGGTATCCTCCCTTGTGACCAATCAAACACCAACTTGCGCGAAGACCGTTCGGCTCAAGAGGAGGCTTGGCACCGATACTCATAAGTGCCTGATGCGCATCCCTGACATGATTATGACCGCTGTCCTCTACTGCCACAAGAACTATGCTATTATCTGGCAGACTATTGATGTAGGTGCTCATATCTGCCCCTGCTTGTGCCTTTCCATGGGTGTCAAATGACGCCTTTGAAATAAATTCACCGTTCATGCGAAAAGCAGCTAGATTGTGTCCTCTACCCTGCAAATACAAAACATTTAAACCTAAGTTATGGCCTTCACCCTCCATAATCTTCGCTTAAAAGCATGTAAGCTCGATAGATTTAGATTCCCCTTCAAATTTGGCAGCTGATTGCTTAGATACATTGAGTTCACTAACCGCTGAACTTGTTTGAAGGCAGTCTCGTACCCAGAGCTGAGAGCTCTTCGGGGGAGGAACGAGACCGAGGAGATCTGGGTACGAGATTGGTTCGGAGGCCCATTAAAAGATTATGCGCATTATCGCGCATGCGTGCATTTTATGAATCTTGTCCAATTAAATTTAGACTTCATATAAAAAAGTGTGAAGAGCGGACTTTTTCTCGCCTCTTCATCTGGATGCAATACTTCTATATACAGTATTTTGTATCATCAAGAAATAGACCCTTCTGCTGTGTTCCTTGATTACAGACTCATTTACTCAGGGTTAGCTTCGAATCCAGGTCTCAATATTCACAAATATCAACAGTAAAGTAAAGAATGCACAACTTCAACAATATGAACACCTTGGCTAAGGAAGTTTGCATGATAGTGTCGTTTGACTCCCACTACCATAATGCTTCGCGAATTTTCTTTCTTGTTTAAATTTATATTAAGACAATTGGTGCTAATTAACTGAGGCAAAAGAAGGTGTGCAAGGGAGTCTGGTAGTAGAAGTCAATGACACCATCATGCAAACGTCCTTTTCCAAGGACCTTCGCTGGAACACATGAATATTCAGTATACGCAATCGAGGCTAACTCCCTGTACAACAGAGTAATATTCAAAACTGGAGAATTTTACTCACGTAGGAGTTGTAATCAGTCCCATTAACAACGAGCTTTGCTGATCTTTGTGATCCAGCATAGTTATTTTTTCCTCTGGATTCTACTTTGATCCGCAAAACGAATTTTTCTGCGGAAAAGACATAAGAATCTTAATATTAATCTATCTGGTATTGGCTTTGAACTGAGCTCGGTTAATCAATAAATCACTAAAGAACTTCCTATACTGATTGGTTTTGTYKTATTTCGTTTCGTTTCGTCAAAAATCCTACCTTTTTCACAGTGTTCTCCTGTTAATTCCAGCGGGCAGATACATCGATATCGTTTTTCAGTAAAGCCGTGTTGACAAGTAGCGTTGACATGACACGGGCTACTTTGACACATGTTCTAAATTCATAAAAATATATAGAAATAAGAACCCAATATTTTTATTTATATTGTTTTGTGTTATATTATTATTTTTTATTATAAGTGTGTTCAAACTTTGCAAGACGATTTATGTTAGAGTCGGTTTTTGTTCGCGCAGCTTTGAAAGGTCTCTCCCGGATTTATTTCTAAGAGAAGGAACAGTTGCGGATTTTGATAGGGGGTGCGGACGATGGGGTCGCGGCGCCCCCTTTCAGTTTAGGACTTGACAATTTTTTCTGGAGCTTTTCTGGGGCTAGGAATTCTAGGTTAACTATGTAAGGTTTCATAGTCAGGGTGGGATTTGTCTCACACCGAAATTTTACACCCCCATCCCTCCACCCTTCATAGATTCCTGGATCCGTCCCTGGGGAGGGGGGGGCGGGGGGGTATTACGTTTACACAACTAATCTTACAATTTAGTCTTCTTTGCTTCCTTCCCCCGTCAACCAAAACACTCAATGTGAAGAAAAGTAGGCGGGTAGACCTCCAGGACCCCCAGGCCACACCYATGTATTTCATACCTGTTTCCAACTTCCGTAAAAGTATCCTGGTTTTTCCTGGTAATCTTGTGGGTGTTGGTAACGATCAGCGTCGTTCAGTTGACAGACCATCATTCCAGGTGTTGGTGAAGGACCAAGGTGGTAAGACACACAGTTAGGGTTAACGTAACACTGAATGCGACACATATGGTTGTTCTCGACTGTATGGTTACTAATCACGTGGTTGGTTAACATCCTGTTGGCTTGAGCCAGGTTGAATGATACTTGCCTGCAATCGTTGCCTATAAATAGAAGTTTTGGATCAATACCAAGCAACGCATGCGCGCGGCCATCTCTCAAAAAGGCTCCTTTCGTCTTTCAGGGTTGGCGTCAACAGTGAAATGCGTCAGTCTTAGAAAGTCATTCAATGCGATTGTATAATGATTTTATTCTTTGATCTTCGCCAACTGAGAGGAAACTGAAAAAATATCTTTAAGGGTTAAGGAGGCGAACAAAGAAGTTTCCTATGAGATTCGTGACATTCGTGATAAATAAACATTTATCTTTTATCTTATTGAACGCCCCAAAAATGATTTCAAACAAAAAAAAGATGATGGTGATGATGATGATGATGATGTTGATGATGAT